GCTTTGAAGACAGATCCGAAAGACTAGGAGAGTTGTCTGAACACCAGGATTTATATGGATGGGTACATAGTGAACTAAGGATGTTAGCGTACTTAGTAGGGACTGCATAAGGATTGTAAACACTTGCGCATATGCTAGTCTTGGGAGCAGGGATAAATGGTACTGGCAAAGGGGGCTGCTCTTATCCAAGGAACTTGTGAATTTTCCAAGTGACCCTCTGAACATAGGGAAAAGGGATTTTTAAAGAGGAGGCACTGAATCACCAGGCATACTTTGAGAGACTACCAAACTAGCTTAACCTGGTTGGCTTCTTGTTCCTTTTTCTGATGCATGAAACTTGTCTACTTGGTAGGTGTGAAATAATTTTAAAACTTCTTTGAACTGCTGTACATACTTAGTACCCTAGAGGCTTCCTTTCATGTTATTTGGGAACTCTGGCAAAGTTTGATCAGATTGCTTGTATTCTAGAAACGTTCGCTTAAAAAAATCTTTTTTTGTTCTGAACATTGAATTTCAGAGTGGCTTTGATAGAAGATGTCAACCGCATGTCACCCAATGCCTTGGCCATTGTTTTTGCTCCATGCCTCTTGCGTTGTCCTGATACCTCTGACCCTTTAACCAGCATGAAGGATGTTTCAAAAACAACCATGTAAGTTTTCGTAGTCTGCTGCAAAGTAGTACTTTGAAATATGATGGAAGACCTGTTCTACTACCTGCATTTGTTACAACCTTATTCTTATCAAGCTGAGAAACTGAGGGTTAAGAGTTGTTTAATTCTGGCTCTGCTAGTGCTGCCAGTTTATATGCCCTTCTCTGAGTCCTTCCACCTGTCTCAAGTTTACAAAGCATAAAGTAGGACAACTTTTAAATCTTAAATATCAGGTTTGTATTTTACATCAAGATAATCTTTTGGGGGGATTGTACACTAATCATATATATTTTGCTGAGATACAAGCCATAATAAACAGTAGGATATAGAATTAAACTGTCTCCTGCATACTTGGAAACCCCTGATAATTTCTTCTGTGTTGTTCCTTGAATTGAAGAAGGTTCTGTCCTTGATCCTCTTTGTTCTCCTCACCCTCCAGCAGCTCTGGCTCTCTGAATGCCCCTCACCATCCTCACTGCATGGCTGGCCTTGCACCTGCCTCCAACGAAAACAGAGTTTGAAAAATGACAGCTTTTTGTCACTTCCTACTTACCCATGGGGCCATAGAGGTGGAAAAGAGTGGTTGCAGGCTCATTCTGTATCTACCAGTCTGTGCCAGCACAGGGAAGACAGGTAGAAGAAGCAGTTAGCAGCCATGGTAATATCTGTTTGCTTACCATTGTTGTGTACAGTCAGCGTGAGAGGCTGTGGTTATCCCAGGAAGAACATGTGCCATTACCTTTAACAGTCTGTCCTGTTTTGCTTGCTGTGTTGGACTCTTCACCCTGTTACCATGCAGTGCTACCCCTTATAAGGCATGCATTGGGGCACTTTGATTGCATGCCATCCACATGCGTGTGTGGCAAACATCCCCAAGCCAGGAGAGGCATCTCATCCCACCATGGTTGTCCCTAGAGCCTTTATAGTATGAGGCTGCTCAATAAACTCCTTGCCTTTTTGTCCAGGTGTGTAGAGATGCTCATAAAGGAACAGATAAGGAAGTACAAGATAAAAATGGATGAAATAAATCAGCTGGAAGCAGCTGAGAGCATTGCTTTTCGACGACTCTCATTGCTTCGGCAGAATACGGTAAGTGTTGAAATAAATCACAGACCCACGCTGTCCAGCAGAAAGCATCCCACCAGTTTCTTGGGAAGGGATGTGCTACTTATTTATCCTGTCCATCCCATCCAGTAAGTCAAAGATCAATTGCAAGATAAGAAGAAAAGGGATTTGGACTTGCCCAGAGCTGTAGGTAGGAGCTAAATATACAGCTGCACTGGAATCTCAGTTTCATAAATGAGGGGCTCAGGGGTGGGGATCTGCTCTTGTAGTGGTCAAAATCTATGCCCACATAATTCAATCAGTAGAACTAAGATTGCTGAGTCCCTTACGTGGCAAAGGAGTTCATTCACTCCAGAGATGGATGGTGGACAAAAATATGCTGCGTTCTATTAGGGCAAATACACTTTTTCTTTTGTTTTTGTTGTACTGATTAAAACAAACCAAACTGTCTGATCAGAAGCTGCATATAGTGAATTTGATCTTCATCTCTCTCTAGCTCTGGCCTGTAAAACTTGGGTTTTCTTCCCCTTATGAGGGGATGCTGGTATGTACACTGTGTTAAGAGTGCATGGTTGGTTTTTATTTTTTTCTTATGGTACTATTGCATGACTAAAATACTTACTACATGTATTGTAACTTGGTTTTAAATGCTCTTTCGATTCATTTTAAATACTCTTTCGAACAATTGAGACTGCATGTATTGGTGCAACTTTCTCCTCAGACTGCATGCAGGGCTGCTGACCTGTTCTGTCATGACTCTGGTATTTTATAGACATTCTGAATGCAACTTGTAATAATATTATTTATAAGTGACTACTAAAACTAAGCTGAGGCTGGCAAATCAAATTACTGTGCTTCAAAAACAGTAACAAAACCCCAGAAATCAGGTGAATAGAAAAATTTCTATTACTTTTTGAAACATTTGTACGGATAACTAACAGCTCTTCATCAGTTCCATCAGCCTTTCATTTGGCCTACTCATTTGTCTTCCACCTTGCAAGTAGTGGACAGTCAAGACTTGTATAGCTTCTTATGACTGAGAAGTGTTACACATACGTTTGTCTTGCAGAGTAAAAGCTCACAGGTCAAAGGAAATGACAGTGGCAACTCAGAACTGGACTCACTGCATGAAGAAGAGGAAGTTTCTGAAGCCGATAACCGGGAAAAGGAGATTCTCATTGATCGCATACAGTCAATAAAAGAAGAAAAGTAAGTCACCCTTTATCTCTGTAGGTCATGCCTTTTGCAGTTGGAGGTAATACAGATAGTAAAGCAGTATAACTTTTGTCCAAAATTATCTAGTTCATTCTGTTCTGTAGGCCTTTATGAACGTGAAAAGGAAAATACAAAGGACTAGCTGAGAGGAAAATACCATGAGAATTAATATTTAGTGACTACATGCAGGAAGGTTTACCTCTGAATATGAGCTGCATAAAGTTGCTCGTGTCAGAGACATTGTCTTTCTAGAGTGCTACAATCTCTGTTCTGATGTAGGGAAGATATAACTTACCGGTTACCTGAGCTTGATCAGCGAGGCTCTGATGAGGAAAATGTAGACTCTGAGACCTCAGCAAGCACAGAGAGCCTTCTTGAAGATAGAACAGGACGGATGGATACCGAAGGTCAGTATTAAGGTAGTGTGTGTTTTTTTTATTCTACATCTTTCACTGCATACAGCCAGGTGACCAGATGTTACCTGGTCACAGTTGCTTGTATTGAGTTACTTTTTTATGCATGCTTTCAGTATCTAAGTATCTTGTTTCTTTAAAGCAATTATCGGACTACACTGCCGTGGTCAGAGCTCCAGTATGCCTGCCAAAGACATTTTCAAAGTGCCTTCTCTTTTGCAAACCTCTTCAAATTCTTCCTCTGCATCCCTGGCTTCAAGACACAGATTATCTTTAACACTGTCCAGGATTAAAGTGCCCCGTCGAACTCCAGTGATGCCAACAGCAAATATAAAACTTCCTCCCGGGATTTTAAAATGTACAGAATCCCAGGGCAAGATTTCGGCTAACGAAGAGTCTCAAATAATGGTGAGACGAAGGGAGCAGCCAGCAAGGAGAACTGATAAAATCCACTCTGTATACATTGCACAAGGGTCTGCAATGGCCCACGCTCAGGAACTCTTGGATGAATATGAACCAACAGCAAAAGTAAAACGGAGGTTTTCGGACCCTTACTCTCACATTCCCTGTATAGAGAAGTGAAATACTTAAGCTGTCTGGACTTTTTTTGAAGTTGACCGCAGCTTTGGCTTTAACCCTTTGAAGGCTGTGAACTTGTTCATGTTCTTTTACATGGCTGGGAAGGCAGCCTGGAAATGTACAGTACTGTAAGGGTTAAGCAAGGTTGTTTAAAACAAATATTCTTCTCTTTAAATTAAAACCCTACAAAGAAAGCAGAACATAAAACTTGTGTTGGGTAAAATACATGGGTTGAGTGTACAGGAAAAAAAAAAGTCCCCTGATTCTGCTGTCATGCCTTTTTCCATTTGCCTTACAATGGACTAACGGGACCAACAGTGACTTTGGGTCAATGTGTGTTGCCTTAATTTTTTTATGTTTTTATGACAACTTTCTGTGTGGTTTACAGAACTGTTAATGTTGTAATAGCCTTAACTGAGACCAAAATATATAAAAACGTTTATTAATACATTGCACTTTTTAAAAATACATGTGTTAGTTTATCAATGTCTGTCTTGTCTGATGAACAACTTCTTCCGAAGGAAGCCTTTGATCGGAATTGCATAGCTTTGTTAGTACTTCATAAAGCATTGGAAAAGCTCTCCGCACAAAGAAAGCGCTAACAGGGTGTCACCTCGGAGCATTTTGGTGCTCTTGGAGCAAACGTACAACCCCGCGCCGAGCCATGGCACTGGATGCTTTTGCACTGCGCGGAGCTGCCTCCTCTTCCCCACACTTGCCAGCTGCGCAGTGAAACCCCTGAGGGCGAGATGCGATTGTACATAAAACGTTCTGAAAAGCAGCAGGCTGGCCGCCTGAATCGGTCTGAACTCCCTGGTCTGTTGGCCCTGCTCCATGTTGAACCAGAAGAGCGCAGCCTCGGGCACTCTCAGTCGCTGTCTCTGGGGCTGTGGCGGTGCCACCACAGCACTGTCACCCTGGCCCCGAGCAGCAGCCACCTCCCTGGACGTGTGTGGAGGGGGTTTTGTTCTGGTTTTGGGGTGTTTTTTTAAAAAAAACAGCACTCGCACCACTGCACTGTGAGCCCTCTCCAGCCCCCTCAGCGCTCCGCGCCCCGCCCCAAGATGGCGTCCGCCGCCCGGAAGTGTCCCTGAGGCAGCTTCCGGAGGCGACCGTCCGCCATGGCCGCGACGCGGCTGGAGCTGAACCTGATGCGGCTCTTGAGCCGGTGCGAGGCGCTGGCGGCGGAGCGGCGGGACCCCGAGGAGTGGCGGCTGGAGAAGGTGAGGCGCGGCCCGGCCTTCTGGGGGGGGAGACCTTCTCCGCGGGGGGAGACCGGCCGGGAAAAGCGGGCGGCCCGGGAGCCCCCTGTTCCTCTGTCCCCGCAGCAGCGCGGTTCGGCTCCTCGAAATAAACTGAGGCAGTGAGCGCTATGGAGTGTTAAAACTTCAGCCTCGCTCTCAGCCGTGCGGCAGCCTCTGCCAGGCAGAATATTTCTCCTTAATGCTGTCGCCTAAAGGGTTTTTTCTCCTCAGTATGTGGCCGCTCTTGAAGACATGCTCCGAGAGCTGAAGAAGCAGTCCAGGTGAGTCCCTCTCTGAAATCCTGGTGTGGGCGGGTGTCTTTTGTGGTGTCGTTAGTCTCTTACCTGTAAGACAGACATAGCCCACAAACACCACAGCAGTGCGTACTCTTTTCTGTGGAAATACCTGTCGGGGAGGGAGAAACTGCCTCCCCAAAGCAGCTACGACACAGCCTTGCGAGGAGCCGTGCAACTCTGTCGTGTCCTCAGACACGTTTCCCTATGTCAGCCTTGGCCCTGGGCAGTGCCCGTGCCCCAAGCTGTCAGTGCCTTGGAAAAGGTGATTTGTAAGGGATTGCAAGCATGTTTCTAGCCCAAAGCTACTTCTGTTAGAAGATGCGTCTTTGAAGAACCTTGTGTTGCTTTTTTATTTTATTTTATGTAGAAAGTCACCTAAACAATAGAAAATACTGATAACTTCTGGTTTTCACATTATTATTTTTCAATTCTAATAGCAAGCCAGCCCCAGAACTGCTGAATGAATACTCTCGTAAAGTGGACTTCCTAAAAGGACTTTTAGAAGCTGAAAAATTGGTAAGATCTACTAGTTCAGCTTAAAAAGCTTATATTCACCTTATCGCCTTGTTCCTATCTTTGCCTTTATCTTATGTCTCAAAATAACACTTGTTAAAATCTTATCACATGGTCCTTGTAAAAACATGAATAAATAAATTGGATTTTTGTATTTTGTATGAAATCTGAAACTTCTTTCCTGCTTTTCAAAAGCAAAGTACATCTTGCCTATGTCCTTCTTGCTTCTTTGATGAGAGATACGGGGGCAGGTACTGTCCTTTAGGCCTAACACCTCTTTTGGATGGTACCACATGCATCTGGAGAGCTATGAAATGCCAATAAGCTATACCGCAATTAGTGTGGGTGCAGTCAGTGCTGTTGTTCAGACTGTCTTTGCTGTTCTGCAAGGAAGCAGCTGTAGAACTGTTCCCTGTATCCTTGTCAGTTATGCACCCAGGTGGCCTCATGCTGCAGAATGTGATATTCATGACTTTTCATTGCTTCTTGCTACTCACAGTCTTCATCAACTGAAAAGGCTCTGGCAAATCAGTTCTTGGCCCCAGGACGTACCCCTACAACAACCAAAGAGAGAACCCCAGCTACTAAAACAGTCCATCTGCAGACAAAGGCTCGTTGCACAGGCAAGATGAGGAGTGAGCTGCTTGGTACAGTATGTTCTGGTGCTGCTGCTTCTTTACTGCTACTTTATAGATTGTCTCTTGTTGCATTCAGCTGCCTTTGGTGGTTGTGCCTCACACATGTCCCAGGCTGGGTGGGGAGTCACCTTTTTCTGGTTTGGATAGTCTAAATACTGGGCACAGGTATTATGCGAGGCCTGGAGGACTCTTTTTTCACTGGCCCTTTGTAATCTTCTGTTTTGTTTCTCTTTCTACTTCCCAGGACCCCTTGGCTATCGATGGTAAGTTTAATCTGTTGTTTTCTCTAACTTTAGTTAACCTGAGCCTTACAGGGAAAGGAGGAGGAAGGTCAGGTATTAGAGATTGGCCAAAGTGTACTTTCAGTTTAGTGGTTCACTTCTTTTCAAGATAGCAGATTTTAAAAACAAACAAACCTAAAAACCCTAACAGATGAAAGCCTAAGTGTTGTTATCAGTATGGTAGCAGGGACTTGCTGGAACCTATTCTTCTAGAATTCATACAGAAACAGACATTTTAATTATAGAATTAGCAAGGACAGTTTACCTTTATTGTTGTTCCTGTTCTCTTCTGCTCTGAGCAAATCATGTTATTTTAGGCACTTAGAGTAGGCGTTGTTCAATTCCTCTTAAATATACAGCCATGTTATTCATGTAGGGAACTGGTAGGAATTAATTTGCTGTTTCCATAGCTACTGTTACAGTGGCTGGAGCTAGGCCAATCTTAACGTGTCCTGAAAGAGAACACCAAGACACGCAGGCTTAAACCATGCCCTCAGGGATATGATTCATCTGGGTTTTTCTTCTCTCAACCATACTTTTGATGTTATATGTTGTCTTTTCCCTGTGGAAAACAGGTAGGCATTTGAAATCCATATTCCCTGGGGTAGAGGGCCAAGTAGGATTTGGACATCTGAAACAAGTTTTCTGTAAGGGATTTTCTTCAGCCTATGATTGCATGGGAATTTATAACATGCTAAAACACAAATTTAACTCTTTTTTTTCCAGATTCTGAGGAGTTAAACATAAGGAAGCGGAAGTAAGTCAAAATTTCTCATTCTGATGCTTAGTGTTTTGGGAACTGCTTTCTCAGTGACCTTTAAATTGCAGATGTACTTCCATTTGGGTGAAGTGCCTGCTGGTAGAAACCGAAATATAATGACTTCAGCTGACTTAAGAGTTCTTGTCTTGTTAGAGTTGCAGAGTCTGGGAGGTCAGCCCACAAGGAAGTAAAAATCCTAATTTTTTTCCCGTTACGCTTTTGCAGAGGCCTTACATCTGATGAGAAGCAGTCAGCAGTTGAGCTGGATGCTGTGTTACAGCATCATCAGGATATGCAGGAGAAGTTAGCTGAAGAAATGCTAAGTTTGGCTCGCAGTCTCAAAAACAACACTCTGGCTGCGCAGAATGTGATAAAACAAGATAACCAGGTAGCGTGTGTTTAAAGTGCTAACTTCTCAATTTTGCAACCCAGAAGGTTAAAGTGCTAATATGTTAAATACTATACCTATAACTTGATTCCAGGTGAGATTAGAGTGGGGAGACTTGGAGGCAATACCTGTCTGCTTTTATAGTGCAATTGAACCTTTTTTCTGTTGGAAGAAATAATGGTCAGAACTTTCAAATCTGAGTCTGAAACCATTCATTCTCTTTGCTCCCCAGACACTATCGCATTCTCTCAGGATGGCAGACCAGAACTTTGAGAAGCTCAAGGATGAATCTGACCGCCTTGAACAGCACGCAAAGAAATCGGTCAACTGGCTATTATGGATAATGTTAATTGTCGTTTGTTTTATATTCATCAGCATGATTCTCTTTATCAGGATTTTCCCCAAACTAAAATGACTTTCTTTTTTTTCCCCTCCAAAACTGCCAGAAGTGCAGTTGGAAAGCTCAGCTGGTATGATAACTGTCAGCAATCAACTTTGCCACCTGTCATGTCCTTAAAGAGGCCGTCCAAGGGCTACCCTTCCATCTCTTGTGCAATCACTGGATTCAGTGAAGGGTTTCATGGGGAAGGCTTTCTACACGTGGATACTCAGTTACTTTTTTTACTTAGTGAATATTGTTGTCTATTGAGGAGACAACTGGGATAAAGGTGGCAACTTACACTGAGCTGGTAGCAAGTTCTTTAGTGGATAGACACAGTCCTCTGGCAAATGTTACGACTCCTAAAAGGTGTTTACTCAATAGGAATATAAGGAACAGTCTTGAAGTCTTACCATTTTTCCTGTCTTTTCAGCTTTACTGTACTGAACTAGCACCTTGCTGCCCACAGGATATTTAATTACAAAGTTACATACGTACACAGCTGTAGGGCATAGGAAGAGAATGCTGCCACTGAGTTGCTTGCCTGGCTCAGATTCAGAGAGTGTCGACAGGTAAAACTATTCTCAGGCTCACCTTTTTCCCAGATGGGTATTTGGGACTTTGAACTTCGCAGTCGTCTTTGGTTTAGACTTACTATAGAAGGGCTGAAGTTGCTTGCTGTTGCAATGTTCGCTTCCCTTTTTGTATGCACAAATGTTCTCACTTATTCATTGTCTGTTATGTTGATGTTGTTGCATCCAGAAAACACTGTGACCCTGGCACCATGGAATTGTACACACAGTACTCTCTGGTGTAGACCTCACCTGTACAAACGTTTTTTCACTGTAAGATGAGGGCAAAGGAAGCTGGTGTCTTCAAGACAGAAATAATAATTAAAAAAAAAAAAAAGTCAGCCTTTACTTTTTGAGACAAATTATTGTGGTCAAAAGTGTTTGTGTCAAACTTGCATTCTGGTCAACAGTGTTCGTGTCAAACTCGTATTCTTAAGAGGTCACTACATTGAAGCAGAGATAAAATAAACTAGAATGAACGCTTTTTAAACACTACTGCTAGAAAAGTTTAGAGCCTGCAGTAAAGTTAAGTTTGTTGTGACAATGTTAAGAGCCACTTTTAGGTGCTTGTGATAAGCTAAAAGCAAACCATTCTGCATCTGTGCTGTCGTTTCTGGAGTCTTACTCTGAAAATGCTGGTGTTTAGGTGTGTAGTTTCACGTTGAGGAAGTGAGGAGCTGTGGATGACCCCCGGGTGCTCTTTTGCTATTTCTATTTCTGTTTTGAACCACTAGATGGGGTGTTTTAGGCCCGTCTGTTTGGTGATCTCCACAGCAGCCCTGGGTGAGAGGAAGGTGTGGGGAAGAGCTGTTTGTCTCAACAGTTGAGTTCTTATGAAAACCCGACTGCTTCTTTGAATGCATCCCAAAGTAGCAGGCTCTGTTTCAGAATTGTTTTCTGTTCTTTACAAAAACAGCCGTGTTAATGAAGACAGTTAAGATTTTTCGCATAAAGTGTTTTTGGTCATTTAACAGGATGTTTGCAATGTAGTATACCATTACTTATGGATTATCAAATGAGCGTTCAGACTATGAAGTACAGCTTTTTCTTCTAGCAACTCATCTATGTGATATGCTCATTCTCTTTGAGCAAACTTGTTACTTACCTTGAACTTTATAGAAATTTACAATTGTAGCAATCCATTTATGGACATTTGTACTTTTCCCAGAAGTTTTTCTTTAACTGTAATGTCTGACATTTCACTGTGCTCCATTAGTGAATGCTGTGTCACCAAATTATTTTTTAATTCAAATTGTTTACTACTTGCCCTGCAGGCGTTTCAGTGCTGAGTTCTTCTCTTAGAGCAGAGGTTGAATGTAGTGCTGGCATGCTTTTTGTGTGTGAGATATTGGAATGATACAACACTAATTCTTCATCATCTATAACATTTTCCCCTTTATTACTTGAAAAAAATTTATTTTTTTTTTCCAGCTTGCAAAAGACTTGGTGCATCATTGCAGACAAGTTTAAAGCTGAATTGTGCTATCAGCCATGTGTTGCCTATACCTTTTTGGCACTTATAAATTAAGTTCAATTGGAAAGACCTGAAAGGGAACTGCTAGTGATAGCTTGCCCCCAAGAAAACATCCACCCCTCTAAGTCAACAACAATCCCTTTTCAAAGAAGCCTACTAGGAAATCAGTTCAGAAACACATGCTATTTCACTTTTGACTGTTAATGTTTCATGAGTGTTTGTTATTTTGAAGGATGAACTGCTGAAGCTGAGACTGAATCCTGTAACTGCTAACACCTTTTGTGATACCTCACATGGCTGTTAAGCATAGTGCCTCCAGCGCTGCACTGAGCTTCTGGTTACCTCTGACCCGGTGGAAGAATGTTACCTTCTGCCCTGGCAAACCAAACGGATTAATTGCCTCAGTGGCCAGCAATCTCCCTGCACACAATGGCTGTTTTGTCAATTGGCAGTTGCAGTCTTTGCTTTTCTTGAGTTCATTTAGTAATTACAGTCATTCAAAAACACTTTGAAGATCAGTGCCAGTAGTATTTAGAATAAACAATTGCTGAAGGCTTTGTGACATTTCATCGATGGAGTGACAGTTTTTATTTTTGACTGATGTATGGGTGGTGGTGGTTGTACGATCTGCTACTCTCTAGCCCTCAGCTCCATTTCATAGCATGGGGCTCTGATGTGCTTCTCAATACAGAATAGTGTCAAATGTAGAAATAGCTTTCTGTGAGAGTTGCTTAACTTTCCCAAAAGCTTGGGAAATCCAGATGGAGAGATGTTTATCAGGCATAGGGCTGGGCCTTGGTTGGCTTCTTGGCAGACTACCTACTTTTAGACAGCAAGCAAGCAAAGAAAAAAAAAAATCTTTTGGAGGCTTGGGTCACGTCAGGCCGGTGAATGCACCGTTTCCAAGCCTGGCAGCAACAGTAACTATGGGTCAGTCTAAGCTTTTCTGGCAAACATCCTTGGTGACAGAGACTCCTTGTATTGTAATGCTTAATGTTTAAGTGATGTCCTCAGTCACAGCTAGCTTTGATGTTTTGGAAGGATTGTTTACAGTACATAGGCTGTCAGTAAGGATGCATGAATGGCAGGAGCAGATCGCTGTATAACAGTGGCTCCTGTGGCTGGGTAATCTCATCTTGTTTTGGACATATGTTCCCTGGGCTTTACTTTGCAAAGCCTCTGTGTATCAGACTTTATAGGCTGTGAGCAGGTTTTCAAGACTGGCAGCTATTCTGCCAAAAGCGGGTATCTTGTAAAAGGGTGAAAATGATGGAAGGGGACAGACCAGGGTTCTGCTCCTGACTGTTCACCATGTGATACCGGGGAAGTCACCTCCATTCTCATTGTCTCTGCTGTAAACCTGACATGAAACCTCAGAATCAAAGTCTTATGATTGATAGTCACAAGCATGAAAAAAATTTTAACCATGATAATATAGCAGATAGGAGCAGAAAATAATAATTAAATTTCTTGGCCTACAGCAGAGTGCTGATGCCATTCCGGAGTCCTATAGCCCAGTGCAGGGGTGGGTGGTAGCTCTTGTCCTGATCTGCCACATTGCTGAGGCTTGCTGTGCACTCCCTGTGCGTTCCCACTAAACAAGAGTGACATTAAAACCCGACTTAGCTAAATCAATACCACCTGTCACATGACACTGCTGTGACATTTCTGGCATGAGCACTACCTCCTAATAGGAGATGGAAGTGGGAAGCAGCAGCAGTTAGTGAATAATGGATCAGATATGCCTGATTTGTAACATTTACAAAGAAAGGGCGTGTCTCCTAGCTACAGAACAAACTGGTTATCAAAACGAGAACTAGAAGTTCTGTGTTGCCCAGAATGCAAAACGTGAGATAAAGCAGTGTGGAGAATACAGTTATGGCTTGCTGAGCTCCCCTATGCTGCTCAGAGGGCTCTCCCTCCAAATTTGACTCTGGCTCAGCAAAAACTGTGCCTTGGTGTAAAGAAAGAAAAAAGAGACAAAGAAAGGGGGAGGGGAGTAGGGGTGGTGAGCTGTAGATTAGAACTGGTGTAGCCAGTTGGTTGCCTGGAGCACGGCATGCCCATACTATGTATTAGAGAGTGACGCTGCCGCAGCCGCTAACTTGCACGTGGCTGCTGATACAGAACAGCATGCCTGGCAGCAGCAGAGTAGGTTGTGCAAACTAGACGTGGGGTTGGCTGCGAGAAGCTGTAGGAAAGAATGGTGGATGAGGAGGCTGGAGGGGACCGAAGGCCAGATATAGATCTGCCTGGCTGTTTCGCAGCTGGGTCCTGCATGGTAGACACAGGTTGGGAACGCTGACTGTCGTGTGTGGTTCTTGTAGCAATCAAGAAAAATCTAGGTTCTTTCAAATTGAAAAGTTTGATGCTGAATTAAAACAAAAAAATTTTGACAAGGAATGGACAGTAAATCCAATATTGCATCTGCTTCTGTGACATCCAAAATTCAAACTGAACAAAACCAGAAACCAGACAAAAAAAGATAAAACGAGGCAGCGCTGCAGTAGGCCATGGAGAGCTGTGATTTCCTTTGCATCCTTCATCTCTAGTTTCTTTGAACTGCATGTGGCAGAGAGATGCCCTCTGCCATTTTCACCTTGGGCGCAAAGGTTGTATTTGCTAATGTAACAATAGAATTCTCCAGAAGGATCTGACAGTGTTTCCTGTTTCAACAGTAAAAAACTGGGACTTCTGTCCTTAGCACGTAAAGTGACCGGATCTTCATCCTCTGAGCTTTCTCCCATCGAGAAGAGAGCAGTCACTTATCGGATTTGGTGTGGACGGAAGGAAGGGTAAGAAAGGAACTTTGTCAATCCATGACGTGAAATATTTTACATTAAGAGATTTGGCAAATGGTTCTGTGTGACTCCAAACAGGATGAGATAAATTTTCCAAGGTCAGCTCTCCTGTACTCTCAGCTTTAGGTTTAGTCACTGAGAAGTCAATTCTGTAACCTTTACAGCAACATCCTGTCAATGATGCAGAGACTTAGCTATTGTTGGCTTCAACAGCAACTCTTCTGCATCTTCAAAGGACAGGAGGCTGAATAATGTGCATACTGCATGGTGAGAAACTTGTGAGCAGGAAAGTATGTTTGACAAATCAATAAAAATAGAGTGACCTGAGCAACGGGGTAACAATTCACCCAGGCAGTTGCAGCCTGTTGTTAAGAAAAGGCCGTACTGAACGGTGGATGAGGCAGAAAGTGAGAATTCTGACTTTCAGCTCGGCCTTCTGGCTTGCTGTGTAGCTTTGGCTCACTGAACTGGTTTTCAGCTGTTTCATTCTTAAAAGAGAATTAGTACCGATGTACCTTCTTGGTGAGTCAACTGCTCTAAAGCTCCTTTTGGACGCAAAGCTTTGTGTTCCTTGAATATTCCTGGACTGATTAATTAGTATGGAACTTTACTTTTGTATGGCTAAAAAAAACCAACCCAAACGCCACCCACCCACATGTGCGTTTGCTTCCAGTGTATATACATTTCATTTTCAAGACACAAAGCTTTCAGCAAGCGCAGTATCTGGGTGATTGGGAAGCCAAGCTGTGTTCTCTCTCCACATGCAGTTGTGTCAATACAAGGATGTGACTGCTCCAAGGGTAGCGTGCAAACACCGATGCATTTAGGGTACCCGCACTGCTGCAGACAGCAGGCCCTGGAGATGAGACTTTGAAGAACTGTATTCTAGGTGCCTAAACAGCTCAGTCTGTCTTAGCTTTGTTAACTTGAGCAGGGGAAAGCTAAATGAAAATGACGATACAGCTGGCAGTTTCAGCCCTTTCAGAAGGTAGGGAGTAATGTCAAGCTAGTTGACAAAGTCATCTTCTGTACTCGTTCGTGCAAAGGTGGTTCCTCCTCTAGGGATGTTGCTGCCAGGGATGGGCTTCCAAGGACTTCACTAGCAGCATTGATCTGGAGGAGCTGGGATCTGATTAGGAAGTCGGTACACCTAGGTTGGTTTCACGTGGAGGCATTTGTAGGGCAGAGTGGTGTGACTCCATGTTTCCAGTCTCCCAGAAAAGGAAGCTTGGGACACAGCTCAAGAAAGGGTTTTTTATAATTTTTTTTTTCCTCAGCCCTTGTGGGCTACAGCAGACCAGTGCACACAGAATGCAAAAAACTAGTGTGAGGTTTGGGCCCCAAAACTTTTTTTTTTGGTGACAGTATATGTCAAAGTCCTTCTTCAGGACTCGAAGACATGCCAGGTGTGCCATGTAAAAGGAACATAACCTGAAACAACTTTGGGCATGATAGCAACGTGCCCATAGCCCTAGACTATTTTAACCTTTGTGTTTCTGTATATTTACATTGATGAGCAAAGAATAAGGGCTTGCATTTTTTATTTTTTTAAACAGTGAATGCCGTTGTTTGGAGGGCACTGACCCTACAGACATTGTGCACCTTTTATAAGGAGGCACTAGACATACAGCTTTACATTGCTCTTTTTCTGGCTCTTTTGTACCCTTTTAGTCTGTCCTGTGATTCTTGACAGCTGTGAAGTGACTGCAGAGCAAAGGTGAATCTATGGGATGGCTCTTTTTTGGGATTTCAAAAGGAACAAGGCTTTTGATGGGGCCTGTAAATTTACTGCATTATCTTGTGATGTACTGCTTTCATACTGTATAGTATATAGCACTTCTATTGTGTGTTACCTCAGCTGAAATGCCGAAGATGACAAAAGCTGAAGGGTATTTTCATGAAAACACCACAGTGGGGGATCACCATTTGGGTTCCGGCTCTGAAAGTACAATAAAAATTTTGTCATGCTAATTTTCTAAATAGTTTCAAAAGGAAAAGATCCCTGCCTTCCAAATGCATTTAGGATTCTCTAGACACAAATAATAACCTGGCTGATACTTTTTGTACATTTTCAATAATTTTGTCCCATGAAGAATATCCTTCAGCAAATGTACGCTGTTCAGGTATGTAATTATAGATAATTTTCTGCATCAAAGAGAAAAAATTATAAACGTCAGAAAACAGAATATTATTTCAAAGTTCCATACCCATTTTCCTTCCTTTCCCTGGCAGTTGATACTTAGGAGACTTATTTAAGTAAGGAACGGACCAAAAAAAAAAAAATAATATCTGTGGGGTCAAATAGGTAGACAACTCTATTTCAAGTCTCTCTCTATTTATTTTCTTAGGAGGGTTCAGAAATGAACCTCAGTAGTTTGTAAGTGTCACAGTTCATAGCAGACATTTACCACCATTTAGTTATAAGTTATTTCAACTAAACCATAAAACACCTGTGGAGGGGAGAAAAAAATGTGGATGTTGTCAAAGAAAGGAGTCCTCAGTATATCAAACTAGTGATTTTTAGTAGTTTCTTGAATCAGAAATTAGAGAAGAGCCTGCAGTGCAGCTATTAGGAAAAAACCAACCAAACAAAAAAAAACAGTAAGCAGGCACTGGCTTAGTTTCTTAGTGCCCACATTGCTACTGTTAGTTTATCTGATGGCAAACCTAGTATACTGTAGCCTGATGAATATGTAGCAGTGAGCGTATGGGAAAGATGCTGGAAAGATTGCACCCTGATGTTCTTAATCAGTAATTAGAAACTAAAAATAGTATTTTAGGGAAAGATAATAAATCTGTAGCCTTTAATCCTCCTGTGCCAATCTGTAAG